CATTCTACTGTTGATGCGCATTTGCATTGGGGTGTGTGTGTGTGTGTGTGTGTGTGTGTGTGTGTGTTAGTATTATGTCCATTACGCTTCCAAGAATATTGTTGTACATGTCCTCAGATAAATATGTTCAAGAGTTTCCTCTGGAACACGTAGCTATGGATGGAATTACTGAGTGACAGGTACATGCATGTTCCCCTTTTTGAGAAGTCAAACTGTTTTCCAAAGAAACTGCACCTATTTAACACACCATCAGTGGATGAGAATTCTCCTTGACGACAACTGATATTGTCCAACCTTTTCATTTATTCCGGTTGGCAGGTGTGAAATGGGCCATTCAGCTTTCCTCTTCTGTGCAAGTCTGTTCATAGTTTTGCCCACTTTTTCACTGGGTTGTTTTTCTTATTATTGATTTGTAGGTATTCTTTTCTTTCTTTCTTTCTTTCTTCTTTCTTTCTTTCTTTCTTTCTTTTTTAAACATATCTTTACTGGTTTCATAGAGCGGAAGAGAGAGGGAACGAGAGATATAAACATCAGTGATAACAGTATTGATCGGCTGCCTCCTGCATGCCCCCCACTGGGGATCGAGCCCACAACTGGGCACGTGCCCTGACAGGAAATCGAACCGTGATCTCCTGGATCCTAGGCCAATGCTCAACTGCTGAGCCATGCCAGCCGGGCTGTAGACATTCTTTTAAGATTCTGGAAACTAATTCCTTGTCAGTTATATGTATTATAAATATCTGCTCTTCTGTTTGGGTCTTTTTCCATTATAAAAATGGTGTGCTTTAAGGAACAAAAGTTGTTAAATTGGTATCAATTTTGTACTTCATAGTTTGTATTTTGTGTGTCTTGTTTAAGAAATACTCCTTTATCCTGATTCCTAGAGATATGACTCTGTATTTTCTTCTAAACATTGTATAGTTTATACCTTTCACTTTATTTCTTTAGTGAATCTGGAATTTATTTTTGTTTATTACATGCATATTTTGCCTGAGATAGAAATACAATTCCATTTTTTTAAATACAGAAATACTTGAAACGTTTTCACACTAATCCGTAACACCAAACCAGCTGAACATGATGTTTCCATATACCGCAGATCTGTTTCTGAGCTCTTTGTGCTCACCCATCGGTTTATTTGCAGGTCAGTGTAGGAGCCATTACTCATCACGTGAAGAGCAAAACTATAAAATTAGAAACTGTAAAAAGCACTCTTAGCTTGTCAATGTCTGAAGTTAATCTGTATCTTCACCCTTTTCCTGAATAGTCAGGGACCTTGGGACAATCTGACACCATTCATCCCCTTCCAGCTCGAGTCTACTCTAATTCGCCACTGTTTCTCCTTCACAACACGTGTGTTCATTTACAGCCGATCTTCATTTAGCTTTGGCACCTACTTAGCACTCTGTTTGTTCAGCGTGCTCTTTTCATCCCAGGTCTTCCATCTGAGATCATCTTCCCTCTGTTTAAAACAACGTTCTTTCAGACCGCGGCGAGTGAAAGTCTGCTGATGGCTGACGCAGTTTTTGTCACCCTGCAAACGTCTTTGTTTTCCTGTCACTCCTCAGAGATGAGGTCGAGCAGGAAAACTCCACCGGCAGTTCTTTCCTCAGCCCGCTGGAGATGCTGCTCCTCTCCCGTGTCCGCTGTAGCTGGTGCGCGGGCGTCGGTGTGATCACCACTCCTGTGTTCACTGCCTCTGCCCTCTGCCTGCTGCCTGCCTGTGTGACAGACAAGGTTCCAAGAGGGAGAGCTTCTCTTTAGTACCTGGTTTCCAGTTCCGATGTGCTTTGTTTTTATGCATTTTGCCGGGAATTCATTAGGTTCCCTCAACCTGAGAACTTGTTTCTTTAAGCGATTCTGGAAATGTTCACTCTTGCCTCATTGAATGTCTCCTTTCCCCTCCTCCCTCCTCTCCTGCTGGGACTCGGATCGGGAACATTTACACCTCCTTAAACCTTCGTCTCTAGACTCCTCGCCCCTTAGCTGCATGCTGGATAACGTCCTCAGCTATCTGTGTTCAATAAAGCCACCACTGGTCAGGAACCACTTCAAACTAAATTCTCCATTTAAGGTGTTCAGGTTACACAGAGACACGGGTAAATACAGACAACAAACTGCCAGGCTGGCTGTGGCTACAAATTCTCAGGGAAGTTTTTTTTCCCCCTCTGCACAAAGCACCAAGGTTGAGACAGAAAGTTTTTCTTATGGGAGAGGGGAGAGGAGGAGAAAGGACAGGAGGGGAGGGGAGG